ACACATAGAAGGCAAATTCGTAATCAGAACCATGACCAACAAAAGTCGTTTTGTTTTCTTAAGCGGCCCAACAACATCTGCAGTAATTAAGTACAAGTAGTTCATACTTGCTGTGGTAGATACTTTTATTTCGTATGAAAACAATTGCTTACGAGATTCGTAGGTCGATCCCACCGGAAGACATAGGCTTGTTTTCGTTGTGGGTTAGCCGTCCACGATGCAACCTAACTCGTTTTGCGTAAAAACTTGATGAGTCTTAGCTATTAGAATAATGCAAACGTCAGAGCCCTAACTTATTCCTAAAAAAACGTTGAATAAGCATTAACTCAAGAACGTAATATGAAGACCAAGAGGGTGCGGCTTCCGGTTTTAGTCACAGTCCCATTTAGCTTTACGATGTTGGCATTCGTGATTTCCAGCACTAGAACATTGGTTGGGTACATTCGCAAACTGGAATGCAACGAAAGATTAGGGATGCTGTGTATATCTTCTTTCAAAGAAACATGATGAAAAGGAGATTTGAAAGGAGGAAAAGCGATTATCACACACTGCTTGAGCAGACTTATGGATTCAGCGAAGACATCAAAAAGAAGACGCTTGGATCAATGATAACTGTTCAACGACAGTAAGAGATATCACAAAGGAGTTGCTCATTAGGAAAAAAGGAAAGTTAAGAAAAGGCGACTGCAGTGAGATGAGTCAAACGTGGAATTGGCCAAAAATTTACCCAGAGGGTTCACCTATAAGATCTAAGATATAAAATTAAAGGCTAAAGGTATAGATGGGCCAGATAGAGATCATCAGTGTGTGTGCGTAGGTGTTTTGTTGTATTTTTCGTATATTCTTCAGAAGGGTAGGTGACTGACGACAGCCTTGACCACGTGGGATATCAACCAAGACACACAAAGTGACTTCATCCCAGTACCCTAGTATTAGATGGGAATGTCATCTTGAGACAAAGAGTGTGGTTTTCGCGATTAAAAGGAAAAAAGGGAAGGGACGCATTCTAACATAAGCGGTTATGACTTAAGCAGAAAACAGGCCAAGATGGTGTGGCCTTCTGTTTGGTCGCAGTCTCCTTTAGTTTTATAGTGTAGGGTCGAACTTGTCTTCGGAGCTTGGGGGCAGTGGCCAATTGACAAGCGGTTAGGAAAAAAAGAATGGGCAGAATGTCGTTCAGGGGTCCTGCAAACGGCATCTGGTACCGGTGGTGGAAATAATTACGCATCACTAAACTCACTTGTAGCGGCACACTCTTAGGCGACATTGGAGGAGTACAGAATTGTGTGAATAAGTGGATATGTCATATGAAGTGGGGTTGAGAGAAATATTCGGCACTATGCGAGGAATGATGCCACAAAGGTTACACAGAATATTGGTTAAGGGGATTGCCTTCACTTGTCACTTTTATAAGTTGTATTTCTGTGTTTTCGATGGCGCCACCCACTGACAATGTCGAATGCGATTCAGGCGAAACATTTAAGAATGTACCAAACCAATGATCTAATGCTGGAAATTACGAATACTATGGCAGAGAACACGGGACTAGGCACGTTCCACGTCTCCATTAAGCTCCGACCAAGTTGACAAAACAAGGTCCATCCAATACTAAATCAAGAAAATTATCCAGACCTATCTTCTGTGCTATACTTATAACTTAAAGCAGAAATGTGTGAATGTAAATAAAGATAGAATTATCTGATTGGCCCATTTTCATATTAATCAGAGTACTTATATTTGAGCTTGTATGTTTCTGTGCATGTTAACATGTGTAAGCAGGTCAGGTACGTAAAACCGACTATATCTCAGAGTAATTGTAAATAAGCTAAACGATATGCCCGCATTGTCAAGGTTTAATGACCCAGTTTAGGAAAGCCTTAAAGTAACTGATTGCGATTATGAGACGTAAGCCCGTACGCGAGTATAGGATTATCAATATTCAATAACCCAACGAAAAGCATGTCTGGGATTGTTAAATGAAAAGTGCCTTAACATGAATTTATGAAGAAATTTTTCGAAAACCAGTTTTTCTAAAAACTTAATTAGTTATGAGTAGAAAAAGTGACCTACTCTTAATAGATCTATATTGGAGTATCTTTGATTTCATTTGAAGAAACAAGTGGAAGGGATTGGTAGAGTGGCCGGGAGCTTGCGAGCTGTGACTGCAGATTTGAACGAGTAAGTCCTTAGTGCATAGACCTGCGACACCAATAAGTAACGCTTACACAACTTTCTACCTCCATTCCTTACAACTTACATATTTCCAAACTTGTTAGCCGTTTCGCCCATCTTCCTAGAAAGAAGGCGACGAATAGAGTAGAACATGAGAAGTAACAGTTTGTCTAGCTTAAAACAAATGATCTCCAAAAGAATGTTATATTAATGCAATCTATTAGTTACAACGACATAGACATATTTGCAACTAGCTGCAGATAAACCGTGACCGGTATAATGAAAAGCCTAAGATAAGTCAATCGTAGGTCCAGTTTCTGCCATGTTTAATCGTATTGGTATTTTTAACAGCGTATAGGTGCACTTTTGCACTCAATATCGAATAGGATAGATCCCACCAACATAAAAGCGACAGTAAGAGTGCCAAGAGTGTAGTAATTTTCATTAAAACCCAGTTTATTCCTCAGTACACTATCGCAAGCCTACGATTTTAGATGTGAAGACCAAGATGTTGTGGCCTCGGGTATGGTCGCAGTCTCCTTTCGATTTTAGGTTTCTCTAATTGTCTGTGTTTATTCATACGCACACACAGATAAGAACAGAGATTTGCTAATTTTTTAACATTACAACACTCTGTAGACAAGAGTAGGAATTGGTGAGTTGAACTGTCTTCCTTTGCGTTTTACAGTAATCGTTAGAAGAATAAAGGCCAGTCTTCTCAATAAGATAGTATAGCTCACCAAATTTCCAATGCAGTATAAGAGCAGTGTCTTAAAAAACACAGAATAAAAATATAGCAAAATTAAAATATCTAAGAAAATGGATTCGTCATCTTATGATGAGATCGACCTATAGATTATTGCATTTCACAATTACACACGAATTAAATGAAGCTAACGAAGGAATTTTTTTTCTAAGTTTGCATAATAATGCGCCTTCTAGTTAGAATGCTAGAAATAAATGCAAAATTTACCTAAAAATCAAGAGAAATGAAAAGAGATTACAGGGATTCAAGGCCTGACAAATAAAAGCAAACTTTTTTAAGGGGATCCTATGAAACTGCCGGAGGCGATTTGGGCTCATGTATGTTGGGAAAAATGGAGGCCATAATTCCATAGCTGGTGTGCTGTGCTGTAAAGGACCACAACGAGCAAGACAGCCGCCAAGACCACCACTACGAATAGCGTAGAACTCATCATTTGACAAATTTAGAGGATCCTTTGGAGGCAGACCTGAGGCCGCAGCCATTATAGCGGCAGACTTAACGCCTCCATGCGCATCCTCACCATCGTCACCATCATCAGCACCATCTTCGTCTCGCCAATCATCTTCAGCCAACATTCCGTGCTGTAAGAATAGATGACAGTTGTGGATTTGATTAGTTTTAGTTCGATAAGGCACAAGAATAAAAAAAGTGATAACAAGGGATTAAAGGCAAACAAGTAAATAAAAAACATTTTAAAGCGTTTAGGTTCGACAAAACATAATAAAGGACATTACTATTAGTCATCCGCTGTCATTTTCCATAATCAGTAAGCCTTATGCGACTAACTTCCTGAGTAAAAAGTCATTTTAACCACAACTTCGACAGATACTGAATGACAAGAAGAATCATTAAGGAACTCTTTAAAGTCCAGCCAAAAAAACTTGATGTGTTCGATGATTGTATGGCAGATTATTTGAACTGTATTTCTGCAGAAGCTATGTGATCTTGAGTTGGCAACTTATTGGAAGACCTGCAGGAATGCACCCTGTCCAGAGTCGATAGTATGCATGGAAATTTCAAGTCTGACCGTGGAAGTGGGACATTGCCAGGCGTTTCGCCGACATCGTCAGTGAGTCTTCTCATTGTTAGCACCACACCGCAATTGGTCAGAGAGAATTGAAGTTGATTCTTTGACCAATTGTGTGTTAAACAATTGTGCTAACTCTCCCTTTGTCCCGATGTATTTATTTATCCTATATTCTCGTAACATAACTTCATTATCGCAATTTTTTACTTGCTTATCTTAACCTAGTTAAGGTGTGCATTTTGTAAGCGGATTTAGTGAGACATATTTATACATCCCACTAGTTCTCTCATCTCCCCAATATGCTGGAAGTGTTGATCCAGACTGCCGTTTAATCAGAAATCCTTGCCCTCCAGATCTAATGAGATTTTCATTCTTGCGCCGTAGGATCCTTCTCTTGTCTGCCTGTTTCAGTGATTTCCCCCGATCACTGTCACCAAAACCGTGCTTCTAAATGCGCAATTTCCTACACTTTGTATAAAATCTTTGATAGTACGTGCCCTCTGCCTCTCTAAGCAAGCACCTAAAGTCTGGCGTCAGAGACAAGTCAAGTCGATGCCTTGACAAAATTTTTTTTTTAAAAACTGTTAAGATAATAACTCCGTTTTTTTTCTGGTGCATCAACCTACACCCTACCCTCTATCTTTCAAAGCTACATCACAACTTCCGGCTTCATTATATTACCCTTCTCAAGAGGTGTCTGTGCTGGCCAGTTTGGTGATATCATCACACCTGCTATAAGCATTGCCTCCCGTCCTTTATTCTTAACTCGAGCCTACTATCCGGATCTCCGTCACGTGCCCGTTGATCCGTTTCTTATCTTTTTGGACGACCGATTTCACTCGGTTACAGTCTCAGTGTACGCTTTACTTTAGGCGCTACTTCTTAAGTCATAAGCAGTCGCCTCACCGAGCAGAGC